CCAACCAAAAGTTATGGAATTCAAGTTGATTAGACCAACCGTTTTCGTTTAACTTGCGAACTAATTTAACGTAGAACTTGCGAAAATGGACTTGAGGCGATATCTCTGTAACGCATTTACCGATTCACACCAAACTTGGTGTGTGTTATGACAACTAGGGTCTAAGGTTAATTGCGGAGTTTCGGCGCACTGCCCCCTAGTGGTCCGGAGATACAAAAAACTTGCTTTTTTTCTTATAACGTCTCAACCTTTCGTCCGAAACTCATGAAACTGGTCTCATTACATCCGGCAGAGCATGCGGAGTCGAATGATGTCTGATTTTCACAGGTCAGCCATTTTGGGCGTCGCCCATTTAGATTTTTGGCCAAAAATGCTATATTTTACCAACACATTCACATATCATTACAAAACGTGGTATGCATCTTCAACCCCTTGCCCTGAAAGTACTCAAAAACGTCTGGAGCAGCGCCACCTTATGGCCAATAGTGCTTGGCCCCTTAATTGCTGCTTGCAGCTATATTTATTATTATTATTCTTCTTCTTCTTCTTCTTCCGTTTCTTCCGCCGGATTTGAATGGCAGCCCATATAGGCGTATGCGGGAAAGTTGTATAATTTGGCACAATGATAGAGGCCAGTATTAACATTAATCAGGCCAATTATGAAGTCTCAAAATCAAACTCTCTAGCGCCACCACTTGTCCAAACTTTCACGTATGTTTATCATCATAACTTTTGAACCGAATGGGCTACAATCAAAATTCTTTTTTCCTCTGATTCCTTGGCTCAATCCGATTCAAACGCACCCTATGACGTCATTTTCCGTCATGACTTTTTTCGCGCTATTTTAAATTTTTCGAAAAACCTATTTGATCGAACTCGTCCTACGCCGTGTCTCCGATTTTCACCAAAATTTAATCACATGATCTACAGACCATGCCAACCAAAAGTTATGGAATTCAAGTTGATTTGACCAACCGTTTTCGTTTAACTTGCAAACTAATTTAACGTAGAACTTGCGAAAATGGACTTGAGGCGATATCTCTGTAACGCATTCACCGATTCACACCAAACTTAGTGTGTGTTATGACAACTAGGGTCTAAGGTTAATTGCGGAGTTTCGGCGCACTGCCCCCTAGTGGTCCGGAGATACTAAAAACTTGCTTTTTGGCTTATAACGTCTCAACCTTTCGTCCGAAACTCATGAAACTGGTCTCATTACATCCGGCAGAGCATGCCGAGTCGAATGATGTCTGATTTTCACAGGTCAGCCATTTTGGGCGTCGCCCATTTCGATTGTTGGCCAAAAATGCTATATTTTACCAACACATTCACATATCATTACAAAACATGGTATGCATCTTCAACCCCATGCCCTGAAAGTACTCAAAAACGTCTGGAGCAGCGCCACCTTTTGGTCAAAAGTGCTTGGCCCCTTAATTGCTGCTTGCAGCTATATTTATTATTATTATTCTTCCGTTTCTTCCGCCGGATTTGAATGGCAGCCCATATAGGCGTATGCGGGAAAGTTGTATAATTTGGCACAATGATAGAGGCCAGTATTAACATTAATCAGGCCAATTATGAAGTCTCAAAATCAAACTCTCTAGCGCCACCACTTGTCCAAACTTTCACGTATGTTTATCATCATAACTTTTGAACCGAATGGGCTACAATCAAAATTCTTTTTTCCTCTGATTCCTTGGGTCAGTCCGATTCAAACCCACCCTATGACGTCATTTTCCGTCATGAATTTTTTCGCGCTATTTTAAATTTTTCGAAAAACCTATTTGATCGAACTCGTCCTAGGCCGTGTCTCCGATTTTCACCAAAATTGAATCACATGATCTACAGACCATGCCAACCAAAAGTTATGGAATTCAAGTTGATTAGACCAACCGTTTTTGTTTAACTTGCGAACTAATTTAACGAAGAACTTGCGAAAATGGACTTGAGGCGATATCTCTGTAATGCATTCACCGATTCACACCAAACTTGGTGTGTGTTATGACAACTAGGGTCTAAGGTTAATTGCGGAGTTTCGGCACACTGCCCCCTAGTGGTCCGGAGATACAAAAAACTTGCTTTTTGGCTTATAACATCTCAACCTTTCGTCCGAAACTCATAAAACTGGTCTCATTACATCCGGCAGAGCATGTCAAGTCGAATGATGTCTGATTTTCACAGGTCAGCCATTTTGGGCGTCGCCCATTTCGATTTTTGGCCAAAAATGCTATATTTTACCAACATATTCACATATCATTACAAAACATGGTAAGCATCTGGCACAATGATAGAGGACAGTATTAACATTAATCATACCAAATATGAAGTCTCAAAATCAAACTCTCTAGCGCCACCACTTGTCCAAATGTTCATGTATGTTTATCATGATAACTTTTGAACCAAATGGGCTACAATCAAAATTCTTTTTCCCACTGATTCCTTGGATCAGTCCGATTCAAACGCACCCTATGACGTCATTTTCCGTCATGAATTTTTTCGCGTTATTTTAAATTATTCGAAAAACCTATTTGATCGAACTCGTCCTAGGCCGTTTCTCCGATTATCACCCAAATTGAATCACATGATCTACAGACCATGCCAACCAAAAGTTATGGAATTCAAGTTGATTTGACCAACCGTTTTCGTTTAACTTGCAATCAAATTTAACGTAGAACTTGCAAAAATGGACTTGAGGCGATATATCTGTAACGCATTCACCAATTCACACCAAACTTGGTGTGTGTTATGACAACTAGGGTCTAAGGTTAATTGCGGAGTTTCGGCGCACTGCCCTCCAGTGGTCCGGAGATACAAAAAACTTGCTTTTTGGCTTATAACGTCCCAACCTTTCGTCCGAAACTCATGAAACTGGTCTCATTACATCCGGCAGAGCATGCCGAGTCGAATGATGTCTGATTTTCACAGGTCAGCCATTTTGGGCGTCGCCCATTTCGATTTTTGTCCAAAAATGCTATATTTTACCAACACATTCACATATCATTACAAAACATGGTATGCATCTTCAACCCCATGCCCTGAAAGTACTCAAAAACGTCTGGAGCAGCGCCACCTTATGGCCAATAGTGCTTGGCCCCTTAATTGCTGCTTGCAGCTATATTTTCAAATGTTTCTGTGTTCCCCCTTCCACACTCACATGGAGCAGCAGCTTTTCAAAACCAAAACAGCTTTTTCAGCTTTTCCAAAAAGCTGTTTTCAGGGCTCTAAAACTCCAGGGTAGTGTAAACGGAAGGCGAAACTGTAACAAATCTTGCGTGTTATAAAACAAAAGTGTATTGGTGTAAACGGGGCCTAAATGTCATTTTAAATATCAAGCGTGAGTTTTAAGGAATGTAGTAAATGAACGCAGAGGGGATTTAACTGTTTAGACAGGTTTGTCATTACTAGTTAAATAAGTAATTTCTTGGTGTACTTGTTTCATTACTGCTTTTATTCAGTAATTGTGTACAATCAGGTTGTCTTTCTCTGACTGATTATGAGCACACATGTATTTGTTTTAGCTTGAATTCAAAGAATTGTTTATTTAAAGCGTAGACTAGCAGCTGAACACAAGCCCAGCTAAGCCCAGCTGATCAACAGTAGACTGTTATCTCCAGTCAGACATGCCAAAAAAAGCTCAGAACATGTAATCTGGCTGGCCAGTGGAAATGTTTGGATTATTTTAAGTAAACATACCCTTGGATGTTGACAAGTTTTATGAACTTATGTGATAACCTAAGTGGTCCACGCGACCAGAGTTGAAGCCTGCAAACAGATGTATTGTAGGCCTTTATTGGGCCTGTTTATGTTGACCATCTACTCATTCAAAGGATGTCGCTCCCATTTTTCATTTGAATTCTGATTTCAATAGCTGAATTGCAGCAATTTGTTGGGGATTGATGAGGACAAGGTAAAATTGGTGGCTTGAAAAGCACAAAAGTCTAGCAAGCCGAGTCTAGATTGTTTGAAGTTCAAGAGATCATCTCTCAGCATCAGTTTCTTTGCCTGCCTGTTGCCAGCTTTTGCAGTCTTAAATCAATCTGACGTCTCTCTGTAGTCACCAGATAGTATTAGTGTGTGTTTGTTTTGATGGATAGTTCTCTAAGCTCTGGGAAAACCAATGAACACTCATGGCTGATGACAAAAGCAACTTTTTTGCTGAAACACAAGGTTGAGCGGAGGTTAGTTGGCCACTTAGAAGAAAAATGACAAGTGGAGTCTTGCAAGTGTGTGATCTGCTTCCCAGTGACTTGGACAGAGAGACTTATGTTGTCAGCATGTCTGAGCCTCACTGTGTAATGGGCTGGTGATGTTGGTATAGAGATGTTTGTGGCCTCCACCAGAGGGAGCGCCGTGGAGCTTTATGGCTTGTGCTCAAGACTGGGTTGAATTAGACGATGCTAATGTGCTTGAAGTAAAAGAAAGTTGGTTGGCCAGGGAGAATTCCTCTGATTCTGACTGTTGACATCACATCTTAATTACTGGATTTAAAGGTTATCAAGGGTCAATACTTTTCCCATCACACTCAATACTACCATCATCAGGAGATAAGATGCTGGATTTATATAAATGAGTTGATTTGGAACTCAGTATGCACAAATAATGAGGGTGCATTCATTGTGTCACTTTGTCAAGGGCAGATTCCTTCCTGGCAATATGACACCTTCCATATGGAAGCCATTGACTGTCTCTCATCTGATGATGTCATCGCAGGAGGCCATGTTTTTAATAACATACAGAGAGCAACAGTCACTACATTCCAAACTGGATAAATCTACCCCCGAAAGGCACTTCTGAGTGAGCGTTATCATGGAGGGTTGTTCCAATATGAAGTATTTAAAACAGGACACATCCGTATTTTAAAATTTGAAAGGTATGACTGATGGGCTCTTTTTGTTAACGTTATTAGTATTTTAAGAACACCTGCACTACCCAGTAAAGGGGCCATGGTATTATTTGGATGATTGCATGTTCACCAATTCTGTTTTTTATTCTGCTAGGTGAGTTACGTTGAGGGGACAGCTTTGGTCATGGGTTTTGAGGATCCCATGGTACGTACAGACGACACCCCAGTCAAACGCTGTCTACAGACCAAATGGCCCTACATCGAGCTCCTGTGGACCACAGAAAGGTCACCATCCCTCAATTAACCTTTGTCTCTGTCACCTTTCACCTATACCAACCTCTGGCTGCACAGCCCGAAGACTTCAGGAAAGCTCAGAGGACTCCTCACTCTCTCTGCACTACATTCTAGGAGGCCAAAACAGGCCTGAAGTTCAACTGAGAGACGATGCTCTTCGCCTGGCACTCACACAAAGCCTCTTGTTTGCTTTTTTTCTGCTTGATTATTGAGCTAATTCTGTGTTTAAAGTCCTGGGGTTGAACAAACACACTTTGTTGCTGTTTGGGAATTATGTTTTCTCTTTTGCCATCTGTTGTGTGTACCAAATGTATTTGCTTTTGCAGGTGTTCATATTATTTTTGTTAACTTTCTACATGAGTTTGTTTACTGGTTTGAAATGATAAATCTTTAAACTAGCACATCGACTGTGATGATCTTATGAGTAATTTATGGAATTGCTAATATATATATTTTTTATTTGAGGTTTCGTTGTTAGCAGTTGTGAATATTTAAGGGATCGTTTGATTGACCAAAGCTTCTGGCTGGACATAAAGTATTAATGTTTGTCAGTGGTCAGCTGAGGAGTTGTCATGTTCTGCAGCGCCCAGCCATCAGAGGAATTGTGTTTAGACAGGTTTACAAAAGAATGCACTACAACCCCATGTTGGGCACCAAACAACAGTGGGAGAATAGGGCAATTTTAGTATTTAAACTTTGAAGAAAAAACCCTCCAGGAGGGACTCTGCAATGACACTATGATTCTCTGCATGAGAGAGAAGCAGAATAACACACAAACGCTCACCGTTTATTTATTCTGATCCTGATGGTTCACTAAATTAAACACTTTTGTTCTTCAAGTCTGGACTACAGTGTTTGTTTGTTTGATTTAAGGTGAAATGGAATGGTGAAATCTCTAAAAAATTCAGAAGGTTTTAATGTTTTCTTATTCTGTCAAAAGGAGAAGCACTAGCAGATCCTGGTGGAAGAGAGACAGTATTTGGGAACTTGGAAAGCAACCTGTGAGATGGATGGCAGTGATGTTATGGTAAAAAAAGAAAGTCTTTTGCACAAACTCACTACTACTGTTTACATGGACATCAATAGTGTTGGGGTAACATGTTATAAGTAACATTCCTTACATAATATTGCTTTTCAAAAGTAACAAGTAAAGTAAAAATAAGTATTATTGTTTGAGTCACTTTTAACAAAGTTACTTTTTACCTTGCTTAATTGGCTGTTAAAAAATATTGAAAAATAAAATTTACCTTAGTCAGGTTGAATCAAACACTCAAGAGAGTGTGAATTTTGTGTTTTGATTTTGCAAAACCTTCAAGGGCAGTTTGAGTTAGTTTCCCCCAAAAATAAAAATGTTATTAATTACCAACGCAATCTCACGGCAATTTGTAACTTTTTGATTTCGTGGCTAATTCGGATGAATTCGTACGATCTTATTCGCACTATTTAGTACGATTTGCTCATCACCCAATGACTGTTAGGGGTGGGGTTAGGTGCCACGCCTCTTTTTTAAAATCGTACATTTTCGTACGACTGAACACAGACAAATTCGTACGAATTAGCCACTAAACTGACAAAACGTAAAATACGTCTTCTCGTGAGATCAGGCTGTAATTACTCACCCATATTATTCCAATCCCCTGAGACCTTTTTTCATCTTCTAGACACAAATTACCATTCGAGAGCTCCCTCATCCTCAATTGAAAATGATGGTCATGAGACCTTCAAAGTTAAAAAAAGGAACGAAACCTTCCATGTGATTTTAGTTGTTCAACTTTTTACACCACACAAAAGTGATCTTGGAGCTTTTAATGGTTACTGTTGAACTATTGAAGCTTCATGGAAGGTTTGGCAAATGTTTTTTTTTTTTTTTCTTTCTATACTTTGAAAATATTGTGGAGGGTGATGTAGCTCTTGATTTAATTTAAAATATCTTTGTCTGTGTTCTAAAGATGTACAAACATCTCAGGGGGTTGGAATAAAATAAGAGTAAAAAAAACTTTTGAAAAAAAATCTTTAAAAGATGTTTGTCGTCAAACTGTTAACCTCTACTCTGTGTATGTGTACTGATGCAAAATGTATAAAAAAAAAAACTTACATGGTGGTAATATTTTGATTAAAGTGTATATAGATACTCTAATTTTCAAATGTGACTTAAATCCGAATACTTCACTTCTTAAAGGGATAGTTCACTCAAAAACAAGATGTTATTATTTACTCTCTCCACATTTCTTTCAAACCTGTTTGAGTTGAAAAAAAATATATTTTGAAAAATATTGGAAACCGGTAACCTGGTTACATCCATTGTATATTTCTTCCTACTGTAGTAATCAGTAGCTTCCAGTTTTAACAGTCTTAGAAAGAAAGTCAGTCTTGAAGTTTTGGACTCACTCGAGGATGAATAAATGATTAGCAAATCTTAATTTTTGGGTGAGCTGACCCTTTAACTCGAGGGTCTAAGTATAACAGGAGTAAGCAAGATTAAGGTAATTGTGTTAATATCTGAATATTGTTCCTCAAACCCTTCTAAGCTTGTTGAAGCCCATTGCTCAAGAAAATACAACTATATTGTATTTTCAATTACTTGCACTTTGCAGGTAAATGTAATGTCAAATGGTCATGACCAGTAGTTGTTTTGATTGGTTACTGAAAAGGTAGCTTTAGACTTTGCCATCAAATAATTTTGATGTCACAGGATGCGATCGTTGTGCCCCACATGATCCTTAGGGTCACAGATCAAGCTGCTCTGGTTTCCTCCTTAAAGGTCACACCAACAGATAATTAAAAACGTTCCCACAAAGGGTGCATTGTGACATATGGAACAGATCTTTCATGGGCCAAGTGACTTGCCCAAATTCCACATTATTACACCAAGAAATAAAAGCGACATTTAGTGGAACCAAATTTTTCATTAAGCTCTTAGCGAAACGACTTGGCCCCACATCAAACAAGCAATACTGAATGGCAGAGAGAATAAATTCAAAACAAGATGCAGGATACAGGACGCGAGGCTTTTATTTTCCAGAATGTGCCTATTGAGCTCTTTCACAACTGTTTAAGAGTATCAGTGGAGCTGAATCCACTTCAAACTATCAGGCATTTGTGTCGTCATTATTGTAAACGATGTTAACGTTGAGGACAATATAGTCATGGTTCCCTAAACACTGTGAAGTGCGCGCTGCAAGAGATTCTGTTATTGCTCGTCGTGATCATATATCAATCTAGACAAGTGTATATATTATAACGACTTATTATTGCTAACGTAAACTAGTGTTTGACAGGTGCTTCTATTCTCAGTCAGATGACGCTAATATGAAGGCCTGTCTGGAATAGAAAAACATGGAGGATTTGATATCACAGCCAGAGATTATAGGTTCTTGGCAGAACAAAAGTTCAAGAAATCTTTATAAATGAAATGGAAAACGAGGAGGAGAGAGAATTTTGAGATGGTTTATTTCAAACATTACTAAAATAGAAAGTGATGTAACAATGAATAGAAAGACAAGTTTTTTTGGGTATACTTTTTGTTTGTTAGTTTTGCCAATTATGGTCTTTTTAAACATTTTATCAGCTGGCCAACCATATACGGTAAGTGACATTGGCTACAATAGAATTTAAAATGTTTCTTTAAGTCATAAATAGTTTTGTAATAAGCCCAGTAACACTCCAGGGTTTTTCTTCCCCTGGAGAGTACATCTTCTGAAGAGTGCCCTAAAAAGGGTTAAAATTAGCAAAAGTGATAACAAAGGTCTAAGCAGATCAATAAGCAAAAAAAAAAAAAACATACATCCTACATTGGTGCAGGATGAGGATGGTGTGTCAAACTATTTCGATCTCTAAAACAGTTAACACTGAGACTGAAGTACGGTAAATGTGCTGCACACTAGTCATTTTTGGAGGATAGTGCAAAAGAAGCTGTTAATCAAGAGCCATATAAAGCACATCTGGAGTTTGCCAATAATTTGTAATGGTAACCCGGAATGGAAGGAGTTTGGAGTAAAACGAGACCAAGATAAAGCTTTTAATCAAAATTCAAAGCAATATGTGGTGAAAATCAAAGATGTCGGCCCCTTTGGTCTGTAGCTAGCTAAAGTTTAGGAAAAAGTTTATTGTGAAAGCAAGGAAATTATCCCACATGTCAAAATGAATGAAGATTAAGGAAACTTAAGTTATATGGACATCATTTGTGATTGTTTTATGAACATTGTGTCACAATGTTCATTTAACTTTTTAGACTGCATTTTAATGTAAAAAAAAATCCGGAAAAAATGAATATCAAACATGTTATATTATTTATTTTTTTTTGTCACAAAGTGATATTAAATATTTAATTTGCAAGTTGTTTTGTTGTCATATCCAACTCTTTCCTGCACCCTATGATACTTTACATTTGACTTATGGGTGTATGTTTTGTTAAAATATTAAAATAATTTTTAATTTAAAAAATAATATCTGTGGGCGAAGCAGTGGCGCAGTAGGTAGTGCTGTCGCCTCACAGCAAAAAGGTTGCTGGGTTGATAGTTCAAGCGTTTCTATGTGAAGTTTGCATGTTCTCCCTGCGTTCACGTGGGTATCCACTGCGTAAAAACTTGCTGGATTAATTGGTGGTTCATTCCGCTGTGGTAACCCCGGATTAATAAAGGGACTAAGCCGACAAGAAATGAATGAATGAGTAATATCAGTTTGGTTGCATTATTCTCCTCACAGGTCATCTAGCTTTTATTAACCCTTTTTTGAGCAAAGAATCTTTTACTGTGGTAACTTCATTGACATTGATTACAACATAGTTTGTTTAAGTCATAAAAGTTCAAAGGTCTTGTAATAACCCCCAGAAACACTCCTGGGTTTTCCATTCAGTATTTTAACGAGTATCCTATAAAGGGTTTAAAGGAAATTAAAAGGGGGATAGAAAGATAACTCACTGTCAACTCACTTGCTTGAGAACACGGTAAACAAATCCACCATTTATTAAAAGATGCAGACTTCATGTTTAAAAAGTAGCTTTGCAGAACAATATCCATACTAGCATTAGTAAATACTAAAATTTCATCATGTGTGCAATGCTAATTTTAATCTGTTTTTTCAAGATTAATTGCCAGATTTCGTGATTTTTCAGTTCTGTAGTAATCTGAATTCTATAAGTGCACTTGCAAGCCTTATTGATTAGACACAGAAATTGAAGAAATTAAAAACAATACATAACCCCATCTCTTGAGGAAGAAGGATACATACAGTTGGCTGAAATGCTAAATTTACTCTTAAGGGCAGAGGTGTACTATACAATGGTCGTCGAAACAGCTTAAGCACAAAATTAAGCAATTAACCTAAATAATGCTCAAATGGCAACATAGTGACAGAGTTGTAACAACCTTTATACAATGTAGCACTTCAACCTTTTGGCTTTGTTGGTAACATTGGGAGGTTGCATACAATGTTCTGTGTTTGTTGGATGACCAGACATCCCTGTTTTCTGGATGTGTTTGGTGTCTTGCCTTTAACATGGATCTATTGCTGGAAATGTGCCCATTAAGACTTTACAGCAAGTCTAAAACACCCAGTCAAAACACTACACAATTAGAGATTATTAACACTTGAGATTATTAACACTGTAATTGCAGTCAAAGTGATTATTTTACCTGATTGGTGTACCTGATGCTCCGCCCTGAAGAAACCTTGATCATCAGTTATCAATAGACACAACTTTTACTTACTGTTATATTTTTAACCATGTTATAATCATTTTAATGTACAATATGCCAGAGGCTGAACAGTGTGTGGGATGCGCAATGTAAGAATTTCAACCCAAATTTTAATTATACCGCAAGTATAAAACACACAAGAA